TCTTGATGGTTAATTTATTTTGTTGTTTTGGGTTTTGTTTGTCGGCTCTGTTTGTCTCCGTCGGCTGATAGGGAGACTTTGTTTATATATTTTAATTTATTTTGTTTATTTTATTTATTTTTTTTTTGTTTTATTTATTTTTGTTAGTTTTTATTATTTCTATTTGTTTGTTTCTTTCATTTATTTTTATTTACTTTTATTTCCTTTTTTTATTTTTGTTTATTTATTTTTATTTATTTTTTTTGCTTTCTGTGGTTATTTTATTTTTATTTATTTTTATATATTTATTGACTTTGTTTACATCCCGCTGTTCATACTTATTTATTTCATTTATTTTATTTTATTTATTTTATTTTATTTTATTTTATTTATTTATTTTATTTTATTTGTTTTTATTTATCTATTTTATTTTATTTATATTTTTTCTTTTTCTGTATTCATTTGTTTCTTTGGTTCTATCTCTGCTGCTTTATGATTATTTCTTTGGTTGTATTAACCTAACCTACGCGTGTATTTTGTTTATATTTATATTATTTATATTTATTTTTTTAATTTATTTATTTTATTTATATTTATTTATATTTATTTCTCTATATTTATATAGATTTCTTACGGGGCCCCCTGCAGCCGACAGCAGCAGGGGCCCCCAGGGTTGGCTGGCCGCAGAGCGGCTGGTGGTTTGGGGTGTCTGTACACCTCAGCTCGCAGCAGCATAAAAATAGTTTGTTTATATTTAATTTATTTATTTGTTTAGTTTAAAAGTTTTTATTTCCTTTTTTTACATACTAAAATACACCCCAGGCAGCAGCAGAAGGCAGCAGCAGCAGCAGCAACAGCAGCAGCAGCAGCAGCAGCAACAGCCAACCACCACAGTCGGCAGCGGGGCCCCCTGCTGCATCTGAGTAGCAGCAGCGCAATGTGCTGCTGCTTCTGCTGCTGCTTTGAAGGATCTCCTCAACAGCAGCAACAGCAGCAGCGGCGGCAGCAGCAACAGCAGCAGTAGCAGCAGCGTCTGCTGCTGCTGCTGCTGCTGTTGCTGCTGCTGCTGCTGCTGCAGCAGCTGTAGTTAGAATGGCCCCAGAGTACTGCCCAGCGCCTCCAGTTGTAACCCTCAGCCGCAGGTTGCTGCTGCTGCAGCAGCAGCTGCCGCAGCAGCAGCAGCAGCTGCTGCTGAAGGCTCTGCTGCACGGCAACGACAGCAGACTGGTGGAGCTCTGCGACGCACCCACACCAGCAGCAACCACACCCAGAACCACAGACCAGCAGCAGCAGCAGCAGCAGCAGCAGCAGCAGCAGAGTATATATTGCAGCAGCAGCAGCAGCAGCAGCTTGCAGCTGCTGCAGCTGGTGGAGGAGGCGAAGGAACTTCTCCAGCGTCTCTCCCTCAACCCAGGAAGCAGCAGCAGCAGCAGCAGCAGCAACAGCAGCAGCAGCAGCAGCAGCAACAACAGAACAGGTCAAGATAGTACACACTCTTCTGCAGCAGCACCAGCTGCTGCTGCTGCTGCTGCTGCTGCTGCAGCATTTGGGGGCGCAGCAGCAGATGCTCAGCGCAGCCTCAAGGCGCAGCAGCAGCAGCTGCAGCATCAGCTGCTGCAGCAGC